CGGTTGTGGCCTACGATTATGAGACAAGGCTGGTGGCAAGAGACTTTCGAGCAGTGCCATGTGACATGTGCCCGCAGCAGGTAGCGAAGCGTAGTGAAGACTACGCGATGCTGATTGTGAGCCGCCATGTCCTTAGTTCGTGCACGGTGCTCTCGGACTGTAAAGGCACATTGCCGTATAGCAGATCTCCAGCTCAGACCGTGGGTGCAGCAAATCCCAGGGCCAATGCCTTGAAGAAAAATAGGAATGAAGAGTTCCACAAGCAGCAGTTCAAGCATGTCAAGGGACATGTTACGAATATTGATGCGATTGAGGGTGTGCTCTCGGCTTTCGAGAAGACTGGCAACTCCACCGCTGATGCCTTGGCGAAGCATGGAGCTGCCTTCAACATGCCTGGGGATGATCACGTGGACTTCGTGCGTGGTTGCAGATGGGTGCACAAGATGTTGTTGCAGTACCTTGGGACCTTTCAGCCGTGGCTGTATGATTCAAACCCAGACGGCCTGGACGACCACTTCCCTGTGCAAGAGGATGAGGAGGGGAGTCCGTCAATGCCAGCTCGTCAGATCAGGGTTGGACTGAACCGCTGTTGGAGACAACTCTCGAGGATGAATTGGATGGTTTTCTGGAGCCGTGGAAGGTGGCCAGCAGCCACAGCCTGAAGATGAAAAACTGCATGAACATAAACTTTTGGCGCTCCGCGCGGATATCTTGGATCTGCGCTGGACCCCCCTCCCTGGCGCGCGGAGCGCGCCAGGGGCGGCGCCGGAGGCGCTGCCGGGGGGGCCCAGCGCGGATCCAAGAAATCCGCGCGCAGCGCCAAATGTTTATGTTTATCCGAACAGCCTTGTTGAATACCCGATGGTAGATTCGCCGCGTTGTATGTTGTTCTGCACAACTTGCAATGTATCTGTTCGGACTCTCGCAACCACCGAGGCCTGGCCCAGGAGTGCACGGGCAGGCCATTGCGGAGGCAGTGCACTTGAGAACCCGAGGCACCTCGAGAAGTTCATGCATCCGCAGTCGATTCGGCAGGACGTCAGATTGGAGTCACCTCGGTCGCCGTCTGGGCCTGCCCATGGCACTGTGCGTGCAGCTAAGAGGTGGGAGCAGGAGTTCAGGGCTCGCCAGGCCCAGGTCCCGGCGCTCAAAAAGAAGAGGCTTCTGGACACATCAGAGATTCTCCTGGCATGCGGGCTCGAGTATTCAGAGGCCCTCGAGCTGGGCCGTGCTGTCGAAGATGATTCTAATCTTCAGGAGTCAGATTGAGCGACGCTGTGATGTGGTGTTTGATCATCATTGGTGTCATCAACCCGTTTATCTTTTCAGAGGTGTCTGGCTGTGGCGTCTGATCCGCAATGGTGCCGTCGACTCGTTTATCTTTCAAATCCTGCTGAATGCAGGGTCGTTCGTCGCGGCAGGTGTGGTCCTTCCGAGGCTCTTGGGATTGCAGCCTGGCTGGCCCTTGGGCGCTCTACGTGTTGGGCCCACCCAGCCTGTTCTTGCCGTGGACGGCTCGGCCTTACGCGCGCGTCGGCTCGCTGAACTGCTTGTGTTTCGGCACCGTTGTCGGCGTGCTGGGCCTCGAGTGCTCCGATTGCGCCCTCATGACGCCGACCCACCTGTGGGTTGTGTTCCAGGCCGTGGCGCTGGGAGCCCTGTGGGAGTTCCTCCGCGGGTCGGCGGGCTACGTGCTGGTGAGCACGGGCCGGCCGCAGGCCCCGTGCTCCCTGGCCCCGCCGCGGGCTGCCCGCTCGAGGTACACAGGCGCCTCGTCCTTCCCCTCGGCATCAGCAAGACGGTCCTGGCCTTCGGGCTCCGTCGTACTGGTGCTGGGGGGCGGGCCTGAGGTGCTTGTGTGCCTCCCGCCCGCCGCTCTGGATCCTGCTCCCCCTCGGCTTCCGTTCGCTCGCTCACCTCCTCCTCCTCCTCGTCCTCCTCCTCGTCCTCCTCCTCATCCTCATCCTCATCCTTCCTCTTCTCCTCCATCATTATCACCACCATCATCATCATCATCATCATCATCATCATCATCATCATCATCATCATCATCATCATCATCATCATCATCATCATCATCATCATCATCATCATCATCATCATCATCATCATCATCATCATCATCATTATCCCCCTCCTCGCCCTCCTTCCCACTCCTCCGCTCCTGCTCTCCCCCGCTCCTCTCCCTCCTCCGCCCATACTACCTCCGCCTCTCTCCTCCTCACCTCCCTCCTCCTCCTCCTCCCCTCTCCTCCTCCTCCTCCTCTCCTCCTCCTCCTCCCTCTCCTCCTCTTCCGTCACATCCTCCTCCTCCTCCTCAGCCTCTCCCTCCTCTCCTCTCCTCCTCCTCCTCCTCCTCCTCCTCCGCCTCCACCTCCTCCTCCTCTCCTCCTACTCTCCTCCTCCTCCTCGTTCCGTACTACCTACTGCACATCATCCTCATCCTCCTTCCTCCTCACTCCTCCTCCTTACTACCTCTCCCTCCACGCCCCATCAGCATCCCACTTCCTCGAAAACACATCACCATCACCACCACCATCATCAGCAGCAGCATCATCATCACCACGATCATCAGCATCATCATTATCATCAGCAGCACCATCATCATAATCAGCATCACCAACATCATCAGTCGCATCATCATCATCATCATCAGCAGCATCATCATCATCATTATCATCATCCTCATCATCATCATCATCATCATCATCATCATCATCACCATCATCTTCATCAGCATCATCAGCATCATCATCATCATCATCATCAGTAGCATCATCAGTATCATCATCAGCATCAGCATCATTATCATCAGTGTCATCACCAACACCATCATCAGCATCCTCATCATCATCATCACCATCACCATCACCATCACCATCATCATCATCATCATCATCATCATCATCATCATCATCATCATCATCATCATCATCATCATCATCATCCCTCCTCCTCCTCATCCTCCTCTTCTTATCATTATTATCATTCCTCCTCCTCCTCCTCCTCTTCCCACCCTCCTCCTCCTCCTCCTCCTCCTCCTCCTCCTCCTCCTCCTCCTCCTCCTCCCTCCTTCGTGGGTCCTATCTGCTTCCCCCTCCCTTTCTCTCTCCTCCCCCCTATCCTTGCACGTCACCCTTGCTTCCTTTCACCTTTCGGGCCTTGCACTCTTGTCCGTCCAGGGTGCGTGCTGGTTGGCAACGCCCACCACCGCAGCGGGTGCCCGTAGCATGCATTGGCGGGCTCTCGCGCCACATTCGGGAGAAGGATTCTTTTCTCTTCAACTCCTTGTCCACTCGCTTTCCGCATTGTGCTGAAACGGCATCCGTTGTTCTCCTTCATGTTCTGTCTTGTCCTCTCCCGCTTCATTCCGTTACGGGTGGTATTGCTGCTCCTTTGCTCAGTTTGGGCAGCGCGTCACTGCGTAACATCGTTCTCGTAGAGTTTTCGGGCCCGCGCGCGACGCGCCTTGCAGGCAGCGGGCGTTGCCCGCCTCCTGCGTGGGCCACGGACGCGGAATTGAATCTTCAGACATGCTGTGCGGATGTTCTGCCCACTTCCGACCTGGGATCTTCTGTCGAAGATGTGGAACACCAGGGGCTTTCTCCCAGTCTCTCTTTGTGGCGGCGCGCACAAGGGGGTGGGGGGAGGTGGGGGGGAGGCTTCTCGGAAGGCGCTGGCCATACATCTACAGACAAGGCCTGCGCCTTCGAAGAAGCAGGGATCCTGCTAAGAAGCCTTCCCCCCTCCCCCTATCCCCCTCTGCGCGTGGCAGATTATCCCAAGCTCTCTTCCTCCACCTCATCATTCTGTCTTTTGCTTATTGTCCTTTCTTCTCTGCCGCTTCAGCCTGCGCCTGCCTGCGAGCCAAGGGCATTGGCAGGTTCGCGCGGGGTGCACACTCGTAGTTCGCTGAACTTTGGAAGCTGCTGCTGACACTCCTCAGCCTCACTTTGAAAAGATGTATCGCGCCCTCCTTCTCCTTCTTCATTCCCGAGTCCGCAGACGCCGGTTTAGGCTTACGTTTACTTACGGCGAGGGAGGGCCAGGCCAGGGTGAGAGTCATGGTCAGAGGCGCCTCCTCCTCCACAGGCTCCCGAGCTCCGTTGAGGTCCCCGAGCCCGTTTCGTCCTCATCAGAAGGGCCGGGGCCGAAACGGGCCCCGAATCCCGCTTCGGCTCCGGCCCGTTTCGGCCTCATCCGACCGTTTCGGCTTCGGTCCGTTTCGTCCCAGCCCATTGTCCCGGTTCGTTCTGGCTTCGGCCCGTGTCGTCCCCGCCCGTTTCGGCTCCGAACCGTGTCGTCCCCGCCCGTTTCGGTTCCAACCCGTTTCGTTCCAGCCTGTTTCGGATTCGGCCCGGATCGGCTTCGGCCCGTTTCTGCTCTCAGGATCGCATTCGCACCCGGGCCGGGAAGCCAAAACGGGCCGAAGCCGAACCCGGCTGAAGCCGAACGGGAGGACCCGAAGCGGGACGAGCCGAAGCGCGCCGAAGACGAGGCCGAAGCGGGCCTGCAGCCGCATCGGGCCCTTGCCCAAGGCGGGGAACAGCGTGCAACCCTTACCCCCGACGCCACGATGTTTTCATGACGTCGACCCCCAGAGGTCTCGCCCTCATTCCCTGGGACCTGTTTCTCGTCCTGGATGGTTCTCTGACGGTCCCGAGGCCCGGCGAGGGCCCCCAGGGGCCGAACATAGCTACAGTCGGGGCGTTGACCCAAGGAACCCTGAATAAGGAACGAGGCCCCTCTTTTCCACGATTAAACTTCGAATACCATGGGAAACCTAAGGAAAACCCATGGCAAACTGTAAAACAATCAAGGAACACCGAGCCCCCCCCCAAACGAACAGGGTTCCTTCTTCAGCGCCCCGACTGTATAAAAAACACCTGCCGTGAGTTTGCCATGACTCGATGGGTGTCTGGGAACAGGCGGGCCGGCAGCGCCACAGCGCACGCCTGCCGTTCCAGCGCCGGCCGCGGCGAGCCCCCCCCCCGGAGAACCTGCCCCCGCGAGGCGCCTGCCCCGGGCCCCCCACGCCGTGGGCCCGGCAGCAGCCCAGGGGCACGGCCAGGGCGGCCTTCAGCAGCCTCGAGCTGCTCCGTCCCCAGGATCGGCAAGCAGGAGGCGACGACAGTCTCAGGGAGGTGCCCTCAGAAGCGGAGGGGATCCTCGAGGTCGGCATCGAGGTGAGGTGCTGCCCAACACAGGGATGGTGACGCGTTCCAGGCTGGTAGGGCCTGGCGCCAGCGCCGGCGCTTGCCGTCGGCGAGGGAGCCGCCTCGGATCGGTCCACGAGCGGCGAGCCTATCCGGAGCCACGCCCTCGCTGTCAGGAGTCTGGGGCGCGAGCCCGCGGATACGAGGACGAGTGGGTCCGTTCCGCGCGGGGCATCTGCGAGCAAAAACGCCCCGTCTCCACGAGGTCGCGGCCCAGGGGCCTGGCCCGCGAGGCCGCGGATGCGGATATGCTTCCCGCGCACGATCGGTCGAGCCTTAGCATCCCCTCGGCGCGTCAGGAGCCAAAGGCTACAGCAGCGATGGTCCAGCTGCGGGCAAAAGGGGAGGCAACTCCTGGGAGGTCTTTGTGGCAACGACGAAGTGTCATGAAGCCAAGTAAAAGGGGCCATTAAGCTGGAGCAGTCTAGAAGAAGCCCAGGACTAGACCGGATCAGCCAAGATTTAGCCCAGCGAGCCTTGACTCAGACGGACAAAAGAAGTGCCTAAGCATAAACTGTCGAAGGTGCGCGCGGATTTCTCAGGTCGGCGTGGGGCCCGCAGGCGCTCTCCGCGCGCCAGGGGGGCAGGGCCCAACGCCATCCCCTCGGAGAGTCAGGAGCCAAAGACTGCGGAAGCGATGGTCCACCTGCGGGCGAACGGGGGGTTGTAAGGGGGCGATTGGCAATTCGGCTCTGGTAGCTGGTTAGCGAGTCAGCTCACGTAGCAGCTCAATTCACGCCTCGAGCCGATCGAGCCTTGACATTGAGGAATCAAAAACTGCACAGACATAAACTGTTGAAGGTCCGCGTGGATCTGTCGGATCGCGCATGTGGGAGAGAGAGAGAGAGATAGAGAGAGAGAGAGAGAAAACGAACACAAAGGGATATATATATATATATAAAGAGAGAGAGAGAGAGAGAGAGAGAGAGAGAGAGAGCAAGGCAGACAGACAGAGACAACAACAATACATATACATGTGTATAAAGAACGAAAGGGAGAGTGTGAGAGAGAGATACATGCGTACACGTCGTTCATTTGTAATCGTGCTCATTTCTAAGTGTGTTCGTTTCTTATTGTTCCTTGCCCCCTAGTGGCCAGGAAGAGGCCCAGGACATAACAATTTGAGATGAAAAGATCGTGGCCCACAAAAAATCAAAAAACTCTCGAAAGCTTAGGAATGAACAGCGTGTATGTATATATATATATATACAAGACTGCAGTGGCGCTTCGCGCCATGCACCTTGGTCCTTGAAGATTGCTACGCAGGCGGAAAAGGCAGGAAGGTCAAGCGGACACTTCAACGATAACTCCTTGCTGCCTTTTCTGGCATCGCCGTTATAATAATGTTGTTCGTTATCCTTTATCCATGCTTATTTTTCCTCACTCTCGCCATACCCTGGGCATTCTCGCCATCCTCCTCAGCTCTTTTTGCGGAGGCTCCTCCTTGGAGAGCCTCTGGGAGCCTCACCAAAGTTCTCAAGCTTTCTTAAATCCTTCTGGAGGCCTCCTGGGCGTGTTCTGGGGGCCTCTGGGGCTTCCTAAGGCCAACCTGCCTCTAACCGCGGTCTCCCTGAACGCCCCGTTCACGATTTGGAATGCTTCGGAGGGTGTCTTGGGGCCATCTCGGGCTGCCATGGGGCTCTCTTAGGGCCATTTTGGACCCCTGGTGTGCCGTTTTGGGCCTCTCTTGGACTGCCTGGAAGCCCTTTCGGATGGCTGTGGGGCGATTTTGGAGCCTCCCAGGCGACTTCGGACGCCCAGAAGACCGCTGTCTTGGAGCGTCGGGAAGCCGAAAAGAGGAGAACCCCACATTCACCAAAAACCTACATTAAATCAATGATTTTTGCCTCTTGGGGCCTTCTTGGGGGTGCTCTTGGAGGCCTCTTGGTACGTTTTGGAGCGATCTTTCGGGGTATGACGGCTTCTTGGAGCGCTCTTGTGCTGTCTTAGGGTTCTCCAGGACGTCTCCGATGACCCCCCTCATCGCCCTAGGTGTGCTGCGAAGGCTTGGCAAAACGCCCTGCGAGGCCCGGGGGGCCGCTTCGAGGCCCGTCCGAAGGGTCCCAAAGCCCCAGATCCCGGGAGTCCGGTTTTTTTTTTGGGGGGGGCGGGTTGTCCCCCCGCCCGGGCTTGTAAAAATATAGGAAGAGGAATCTATATATAGAGAGAGAGAGAGAGAGAGAGAGAGCGAGAGCGAGGGAGAGGAAGAGAGGAAATAAAACAAAGAGAAACAACACAAACGACAAAAGGGGGAGCGGGGGAGCGAGGCTCGATGCTGTCGTGCAACATGTTCGGGCCCCTCTTCGCCCTGGGAGCCTCCGATGGCCCCCGGGGGCCTGGGAGGCCTTCCCCCCCATAAGGAGCAGCGAGCAGCGAGGAGGGCAGGGCAGAGGG